GTTTTATGCAGATCCAGATCTAGATTCCTTAAGGCCAGTTTCCTAGAGAGCTGCAGTCCTTTGAGCAAAACAATAAAAATTTTTTTAAATTTTAATTATCTTTATAGTGTTGTATATAAGGTTTTGTTTTGCTTTGTAAGTTTATTTTGAGAGGGATCGAGCATGAGTGGGGGAAAGGAGCAGAAGGAGAAGGGGAAAGAGAGAGTCCCAAGCAGGCTCCATGCTCAGCACAAAACCTGACACGGGGCTCAATCCTATGACTGTGAGATCATGACCTGAGTTCAGGTCAAGAGTCCAGCACTTAACCAACTGAGCCACCCAGACACCCCAAGGTTTTAATTTTAAATAATGTTTATTTTCAAACTCAAATGTTTATAAAATTTGGAAAATTATAAAAGAGAAAATGCCCATAAATCCCACCACTCCCTTAAAATCTAGGCGTCTTCCCTCTGGAAGATAATCTTGATCAGAGGGCTTTTTATCTAAGGGCAACCAAATATCATCGCTGTAACACCAGGATGAAAAAAGAAGAGTCACATTTTTGTCATGGGACAAATTCCCAGCCACTAATTCACATCTGTGTTTTTAAGGCTCTTGAGCTTTGCCTTAAATTTACCTCTGGATGCCTCAATTTCCTCACTTAAAATGAAGAGTATCCTTCGTCCACCCAGACTACATCTACAGACCGTAAATGAAAAAAGGCATCTGTCAAAAGTTCTGAGGGAATAGAATGTTCTAGAAAAATAATCATCCCAGTAATACTTATATGTATTCAGTGTGGAGGGTTTGAAGGGATTATGGTTCAAAGACTCAACAAGAGGAAGCATTTTTTCCTAAGGGTGGATTGAGGATTTCCTGCCAGCCACTTTACCTAACAATTTTGATATTAATAAAGAGGAGAACAGAGACACACAGAGACTGTAAAGCCAGGTAGCCCTGGGCTCCAACGGGGCTGTTCCTTCAACAAAGCCAAAACAGAAATCCCCATCCAGCAGGACTCGGCTCTAGTTCCCAGAGCCATTCACGTTGTGGTTCAAAGCTGTCCGATGAGAGCCAAACATAGATATCCTTGTTTGCTTTGTAAATGGAAATTTGAAATGAAGTTTCAGATGCTGGTTGACACCCAAGAGGATGTAATTAGAATAAGGGGCTTTCTGGTTTGCAGATATGAAAGATATGATCTCTCTCTCTGAAATCAAATTATTAAGTAGTAAGAGAGAGGAGAGGTTTGGCTTTCAGTCTTCAAAGCAAAATCATGACCTGCAATTTTCTTAATTGATTTTTTGCTGAAAATTACTAAGGCCAAGGTAGGGAGAGAAGGAGCAACCTATGAGCTGGAGAAACAGGATGATGAAGAGGAAGAGGAACTCAGTGGGAGGGGTAATCTTCTGTGTCAGGTGTATTCCCCTTCTATTTCCATCTCATTTCAACTATAATGGGTCTAGATTACAGTCGGGGGACAATTTGGGGCATCTCACACATGCATCTCCCTTCCTCGTGCCCTTTAGGGGAGGAAGAAGTGTTACTGGGGGCATCTGGGTGCAAGTCAGAGGCCATGTTGAAATATGCATGCTGGGCATAATTGGAGGAGTATACAAACTCTGGATCTAGCCTGTACTTCACATGACTACGCTGAGATTGTGTTTTTGATTCCTAAAGCCTCTTTGCTAATTAAAGCCATTTCGCCGGGGAACTTTTAGCTCTTTACTTCTAAAATGGTCCTGAGGATTTCATGTCTCATGGTAATTCCTGATTTGTTTATTCATCAAATAGAGTTGTCTTAACTACAGAAGGTGCCCTTAAGGATTTCTTAACCTGAATTTATTCATATTCTCTCTCTCTCTCTCACACACACACACACACACACACACACACACACACACTCTGAAGTGACAGTGTGGTATATTACAGCAAGAGCTTTAGAGACAGCCGCCCATGAGTTCTGGTTTCAGCTCTGCCATTTGCTAACTTAGCATCATTGAACAAGCTTTACCTCCTTCATCTTCATTTTCCTCATCGATAAAATGGGACTTGTGAGGATTAAATGGAATTCTCTATATACAATGTTAGGCATAGTGCTTGCAGTTGTAGACAATTTATTAGTAGTAGCTAGTATTAATAATAAGTCATCATTAGCACCATCATAATCCAACCTCAGAAAATCCACACTGAGTTAAAAACTCTAAGCCCAGATACTTTAGGTGGGATATGAACCTAGCAAAGTATTCTGTGTTCATGTTGTCTTTTCTCTTCTCTGTGTTGGACTAGGAAAAGGTGATACAGGTTCTGCTTCTGTAGAAGCACAAATAGGATGAACCCCACTGGGGTCAAATACCACCTGTGACTTTTCTCAGAATGTATATGCTTTCCCATCTCTCTCTCTCTCTCTCTCTCTCTCTCT